TCAGTTGTAGAAGGGGGTCAGGGTGAGGGCGACGGCGACGGCGATGTATAGGGGCGTCAGAAGGGGGACATTGTGAGAATTGATGGTTTGGTTTGATTTTGGTGTTGCAGGGGTATTTATTTCTTGCTGTTGGTCCTAGGTACTAAGATATGTTTCTCTTTCTTTGTTCTGTCTGACCAATAAGGATCAATGTCTGCTCGACTAAACAGATACTCGTAGTCTCACAAGTAATAGGAATGAATGTTAACTATAATCTACACTATGCCATCGCTAGAGCATCCATCCCATCAAATACCAAGTTACATCGCACAAGAAGCCCGCTCGACGCAATAATATCAACATAGCCTCGTTCGAACAATAATAGATGCTTAGACAAATCGGGAAATCATCGCTCCAATCCCACTACTCAACGCCTTGAGAACAATGCTCTGACATCCCAGGAAAAAAATCAGCTGTGTCCATTGGTATCGACGCTCTCCTTGTCCTCCTCCTTGACACTCCCGGTACTCGTCTTATTCGACCCGTCGGACCCGTCCTTTCCGCATCCTTTGACCAGAATATGTCGCTGACGAGTCAGTGGACAACACCACAAAAGCGTTGGGAGAGGCCTACCTTCAATGCATCCTTGCGGGAGAAACTCTTGTCGCAATGCGTACAAGGAAACGGCTTCACCGACAGATGGATGCGCTTATGTCGCTTCAGGTCGTGGTTCCGGTTGAAGCTCTGCGGGCACTGGTCACACTTGAACGGCCGGTCGTTGGTCGGCCCCGGCTGGTGGATGGGATGCGGGGGATGCCCTCCGTACATCTGCTGCATGCTGGCCACGTGGCCACTGTTGAATCCCGGGAGAATGCCGGGCTGCATGCTGCCCAGCAGCGACATCTGACCGTTCGGACTGTGGATGTTCGTCATGACCGGCCCGTTCATCGCCGGGAGCGAGTAGGACGGCCAGGGCTGGCGCGAATAGCCCAGGTGCGGCGGGGGCCCCGTCGCGGAGAGGGCAGGATTCGACGATACGCGACTCGGCGGATGGACGCCGAGCCCGGGCTGTCCGTAGGGGGGGAAACTGGCCTGGTGCGGGCTGGGGATCTGCTGTGCAGCGCCGTAGACGGGCGCCGACTGCGGCTTGGGTCCATATGGATCATTCGATGGGAGGGGCAATCCGGTGGGACTGCTGGCCAACATCGCGTGCGTCATGGCGGGATGCTGCTGCTGCTGCGGGGTCGCGGTCGCGAGGCCCGGCGGAGGAACGGAAAGCGGTTGCTGGAACGGAGGGAGGTGGTGGTGCATGTCGTACGGCGGCGCCATGCCTTCGGTCACGGGAGGAGAGGTCGGTGGATTTCGGCTCAGCGGGTGTAATGTCGACGGGGAAAACGAGTCCCGCGTCGCATATGTCGGGTTTGTCCCCGTACCCCACGGCTGGCGCGACGACGCGGTGCCAGGAGTACTTCCGTAGCCACTGTGTCCCGACCAGTAAGCCGTTCCATACGAGGGAGCGACATCCGGGGACGCAGACACGGCGGTTGTCGGCGCGCTCGTAGTCGGAGCGGTCGCCTCGCCGGCCAGAGTCGATGCTGGCGGGGTCAAAAGACTGCTCACACTGGGATGGGTCGGAGGGTGCGCATTCGACTGGAGCGGATACTTGGGGGTCCCGACGTTGATCTGGAAGTTCGGAGGGGGCAGCTCGAAGCTCGGAAGCGAGGGCGCCGCTGGACGCCGGACGTTCAACGGCGGCGGGGCGTTCAACTCGCCCAACGCCGTCCCCATGCCCGGCGGATGGAGGGCGAGGGCAGCCAGGGTGGCGGAGGTGTCGCGCGAAAAGGCGACGGGGTGGAACAGCTCGGCCGTCGAGTCGGCGGCTGGAGAATGGGACAAGGAGGAGGACAATCCGTTGTCGTCCCCAACAGCCCAGAATCGACTGCCAGACAGGGCCCCAGAGACGATGTCTGGAGGATCCAGGAGGGGCGAGCGGATCGCGATGAGCGATCGCGGTAGATCGAGAATTATGCGTCGATTGAATTGATTCTTTTGCCCGTCTCGGTTGGTTGAGAATCTCGTTCGCGTCTCGTTCCTGGTGTTGGGAGCTTGGACCGATGGTAGTGTACCCGACTGATGTTCAGGGTCACCCAACGGTTATACCGAGGACATACTCTGACCTCTTGGATTAGGTGAAGACTGTACAAGCGCAGGCCTGAGATGCGCAGAGCAAATATGTAAAAGAGGCAATTAAAAGGACGATATTGAATTCACCAGACGTCAAGAGACATGCATTGTCTTGACAAGCCGACCGCGCGATCAGAGGATACGACGGCGGCCGAGTCTATTTTGGTAATAATTAGCGATCAGACTGCGCGAATGACACTCGATGCAGATGGTCAGGTATCGAAGTAGAGTCAGCAAAGGAGCAGACTGAGAGATGGTATGGAGTTGTTGTGACTGTGGTGGTGAGGATGGCGATGGTGATGGTGATGATGACAAGAGATGAGAGTCGATCGATCGTGGTATTGTATTATTAGGACTTAGAGGACACGAGAGAGGACCTAGTAGTATGGAGTAGTATTGTCAGAGTAGAAGAGAGAAGGGAAGAAGCGAAAGGCAGAGCCAGCGCCAGTCAAATGATATGATAATAATATAATAAGAAGAAGAAGAAGATAATAGCCAGACAATAAGCACAACAACAGAGCAGAGAGAGCAGAGAGAGTATCCAGACCACTCCACGGCCGAACCAGCGACGGGTCTGGCCAGCGCGGGGGAGGAATTTCGGGTGGGAAATTTGGTTTAATTTGGGTGGGAAAAAAAAAGGGAAAAAAAAAGGGAAAGAAAAAAAGAAAAAAGAAAAGGAAAAAGTAAAACTAAAAAGAGGCGACCAAAACGAAGAAGAATGAGGTTTACCTGGGAAAGCTAGCCTGGAGGGTCTGCACCGACAAGAAGACAGGAATTGATTATTCTTCTTGAGTCCTGTATCAAGAAGATAGGCAGTCTTGAGCTCAATTGCAGTGATGAAGAAAGGACTATCACAACTTCACAAGCAGGACTCCCATGGAGGTACCTAAGAATGATCCCCAGTCAAAGAGGGACGGACTGGACTGATCATCAGCAACGTGGTTGACAGGGCTCTCGTCCAAGATGGACAGGCTACTAGTAGTACCACTGACCACTGTACCAGTACCACTCTTACCAAAGGCAAATTGCCCCATTGTTCTGGTCATTCCACGGCTGCCCATCCGATGGTCAGACCTGGACTACTCCATGTGTCTATCTACTGCAGGTAACTACCTAGGTATCGATCGAATAGATCACCCTGACATGATTGGACGATAACCATTCATCGCTGGAACAATTGAATGTACCATCATAGCTATGTACTTCTTTGGCGATATCGGACAATTGATGATCAGGAATCATCGAACGCATTCTCTAACAACCCAGAGTAGGAAGCAGAATCCATGTGGAGTACTCTAGCTGTCGACGATCGGACGGCACAGGACCAGCAGGAATCTTGCTCAAGTCTTCCTGTATGGTGGAGCAGAGAATAAGCTTAGCAGTGATGTGATGTGATGGACGATCGATTGCAAGATGTAGTACTCTGATCTACAGTAAATGTACGAACCCAGGAGCCTTCTAAGGTCAGTCCAGTCTACTACTACTACTTGAGACAAAAAAGCAAAGAAGCGGGCACTGGCAGCGACGGTATTGTTGTGGGTGAGATTACCACTACCATACCTATGTACGGTAAGAACAGACGTGAAAAGGGGCAAGAAGGGAATCTTTGCTCCTTGCGTCGGGTTCAGATTGACAGTTCTGGAGGGAAGGAAATCAACTGCTTATGATAAACTAGGATACAGATGAAAGCAAGGCAGAATGTCATTCTGTTCTTTTAAGTGGAGGACTCTTGCCCACCGAAGAATGCTCTGGACTACGGATTGCTGGCCATAATTCCAGCACGACCAAGGATGCTCAGATCGCTAAAGTCTGGACAGTGGTAAGTTTTAGTGTCCAGTCTTCATCTCCAGCTTTGTCAGAGCATCTTCCTCTTCGACAGATCCCGTCATGGAGGGCAAATGTCCCAGGCAAATGTCCCAGGCAAACGAACCCAGAGTCTGGTTCGCCAACCCATCCATGAGGGTCCTACCGTCTGATTGGTCCTTTTTGTCCGCGCGGCATCACCCGAGGACGAGGTCACCTGTCCCTTGTGAATCTGGCGGATGAGATAGGACTCCCAGAAGACATCAACAATATGCAGACTGTAGAGTACTTGAGTCAAAAAAATAAAATAATAAGATAGATTCGGAGCAATCAGCAAATATTATTAATACGAGATGCACCATACCATCTGGGAAGCCTCAAGCGAGCGCACCAGAGAATCGGATTTTCTCTGCCAGTGCCAGTGCCAGTGCCCAGACTGCCTGGGCCCTTTCCTAGAGTGGGCACTAGTCCAAAACGAGCTCACAGGGACCCACACCCTTACTCTGCCGGTCGGCCTGCAGCAGTGGTCGGTCCACTCACTTTGCCTTCTGTTGTCTTTGACACGCACTTGTCAATATTGTTTTGTTTCCTTCTCTTCATGTACTCGTACCCGTACCTATGAAACAAACTATCCCGACCAGTGAGCACTTCTCATCGAGACATCTGGATAATGGTTGCTGGTCGACCCAGAGACCGAAGAAAGAAAGAAAGAAATGATACAGTCACATGATTAGCCCCAGCCTTCGTCCCGGTGACCACATTTCAGCAATCCATGGTTCCCAGAGACTAGCCGAGAGCTGAGCGAATCAGGACTCGAGAAGCCGGTCTCGGGCCTCTTAGCTCAAGCTCTAGGCTAGTCTCTTAGCTCTTTGTCCGGTTCTAGGATCAATGCAGTTAGCCAGTCTTTTTATTATTGAGTGCTTGTCCAGTACTCTGGAGGAGAGTTCAGCTGAACCTAATCCTATTCCATTACCTGTAACTGTAAGTGAAGTTGTACGGTGGCCCATGAGGCTAAAGCCCCATGAGTAACTGCCGGGAGCACCAGTCTGTCGGTGTCGGGGGCGTTGTCGAGGCAGATCTGGGTGGCTGCCACGGTGACAGGTGGCCTGAACTCTCCCAGAGTCTGTGACTGAGCTGGCACTGTCACCCTGGTATCGGTGACAGTGATAGTAGTGATGGTGATAGTGATGCTGTTTCGGATTATCCGAGGTCGGACTGACCTTATTATCAGGCTACTGCAATGACCGTCAGCTCGGCCGAGGATTTCATCCTTTCTAACCGCAGCCCTTCTTTATTTACTCTCTGGCCTCAATGAGCAGCTGAATCTGATCTCCTATCTACTCCTGCAGGCTGTTTTGTTCGATTCTTTTTCCATTTACATACCAGTACCAATCACCTACACAGTCTGGTCGTGGAGAATGCCTAATCCTGACCAGTTACTAGTAGTAGGCCGAGGCTACCAGCAGTAGTCCTATGCACGTCCAAACACCACTAGCCATTGCACCTATCACAGCACATCTAAGGCGGAATTACCATCGAGAAAGGACCAAGGCTAAGGCACTAAAGTACGGAGTAGTACTAGGTAGATAACTAACGGTCGGAAAAGGTTTACGTCTCTGTGGCGGTTGCTTGAGATTGAATAGTGGACACTACCCTGGTCTCAGGATTGATATTCATAGTCGAGCAGTTGTGGACATCTCCGTCGTCTATGGAGTAGTGTCTACGAAACGCTGGCTACAAGCGAGTACTATGATTAGAAGTTTGTAACACAACAATAGCTTAAATCACCACCACTGCTAGAGGAAAGCATAAACTGTAGTAGTAACTTGAATCCACCAACCTGCAGTCCAACGGTCAAGTCACCGTTCGAGTTTATTAGACAAGTGAAATCTATCTCTCCATGCATCGATAGTACACAAGGATTTATCACCTATTCCAGTTACTCCGTAAGAACCGGTGTTCGTCCTGTGGAGCGAGGACTGGACTATGGCCACCAGCTCGGACTCCTGCATCATGCAAGGATCCAGCGGGGATGGAGTCGCCGCAATGTGACAGACTGACAGCGCAGAGGCGGCTGGCTGGTCTCTGCGTTTCGTTGCGTCTGGGCTGCGAGTGAATGTCTGTAGATGCTTGAAGTGTTTAATTTAATTATCATTCATCTTGAAGATGGACGAGGACATGAAGAGGAGAGAAAGTTGTAAATGCCAGTCGACTGCCCATATGGACTCTGAGTCTGGATTGGCGAGACCAGTCTAGACTCACCCGTTCATCAGATCAACAGGACGATCACGGTGGAGGGTCAATGGGATCCATTCCAGGAATGATATGCTGCATAATCTTGATCGTGGACAGTTCACCTTACAGAGCATCTACATACACATCGTACTTGTATCGACTCCCCGGGTGATCCTCGCGCAGCCCCCTCTGTCCCTTCCCATACACCCGCTCGCGCGCCGTCAGGGCCTCCGCCTCCGCCTCCGCCTCCTGCGCCGCGTACAGCCCTCGCCTCCTCAGCTCCGGAACCAGCAGCTCGACCACGTCCTCGAACGTCCCCGGCGTCGACACATGCCCGAGGTTGAACCCGTCCAGATCCGCCTCCTCGATCCACCGCTCCATCTCGTCCGCAACGGTCGCCGCGCTGCCAATCGCCACGGGGCCCAGCCCGCCGATCGACGCCTTCTCCGCCACCACCCGCGGCGTCCACCGCGGCATCTCCTTGCTCGTGGTCGTGAACGCATCCAAAACACTCGCGATCCGGCCCGCCTCGACCGAGTCCGCCGCCGTGATCTCCTGGTCCAGCGGGATCCGCGAGATATCGATGCCCGTCCATCCGCTGAAGAGGACGAGCCCCCCGACCACGGACGCGTACTGCCTCAGCTCCTCGTACTTGGCCTGGGCCTCCTCGTCCGTCCGCCCCAGGATGGGCGTAAACGTCGCAAAGAGCTTGATCGAGCGCGGATCCCGCCCCTGTTCCGCCGCCAGCCGGCGAATCCTCTCGACCTTGGGCCGCAGCACCGCCGGCGAGTGGCTCGAGACGAAGATCGCCTCGGCGTGCGTGGCTGCAAACGCGGAGCCGGCTGGCGAGGTGCCCGCCTGGAAGAGGAAGGGCGTCCGCTGCGGTGACGGGTCGACGATGTGCGGCGTCTCGAGGGTATAGTATCTCCCCCTGTGCGTGATGGTGCGCACTTTGTCCGGGTTGATGTACGAGTCTGTCGTCGGGTCCGGGGACACGGCGTCCGACGCCCAGGAGCCTTCCCACAGTCTGTGCTCTGCGTCAGCGTTGTCATCTCCATCGAGGCGCAACTGGGGAATGTGACAAACTTGTATAGCACGCGCAGGTATTCGTCCGCCTGCAGGTACCGCTCATCATGCTCGATGGGACTGTCCAGCCCGATGGCCTTGAACGCCGCTTTCTTGTACGAGGTCACGATGTTCCATCCGAACCGGCCCTTGGTCATATGGTCCAGTGTCGAGAACCGCTTGGCCAGCAGGAACGGCGCCTCCGAGGAGGTCGACGAGGTGATTGCGAAGGTCAGGTGCTTCGTCACTGCGGCCATGGCCGAAATGGGCTGCGCAGTCACATCAGCATCCCGCGTGCCCTGTGCTCCGGGGTTGCCAGAAAACAGAGACTTACAATCGACGGATCCGTCACGGGCCATTGCGCCGCCCGGCGAATGCACTCGTCCAGCTTCCCCTGGTACGTGTCATGTCCTCCAAAGGTATCAGCCAGGAACAGAGCGTTGATTCCGCCCCGCTCCAGAAGCTTCGCCAGCTCGATCCAGTACTCCAGGCTGCGCTTGGTGGCCGATTTATCGTTGGGGTTCTGCGCACCATCCAGGTCAGTCAGACCCAGATCGAACCGATGATGCCAACAGCCCCGCTTCTTACTTTCCACTGCCCGGGGGACAGATGTCCCACGGTGCTCATATCGAACGCATTCAGCAGGATGTGCTTTTTCTCCGTGGCGGAGCCGCTCTGGTCAGTAGGTGCACTACCTGCGCTGTCTCCCATTTCGACTTTAGGCCTTGCGTTTGGTTGTCGAGTCTGAGCTCCCTGATCCGATTTCGTTGACAGTAGATATACCCCTCGTTTTTCATCCCTCTTCCATGGGAAACAGGTGGCTGCTCATGACCCCGCACCCATTCGCCATTGCTTGTGATCATCACGCAAGATTCGCCATTATCTCCACAACATTCGCGACCTGCTCAAGTCGCGGCTTCGAAGGGTGCTGGCCTCTGCAGTGTGTGTGACTGCGTGGGCGGTTTCTCCGCAGTGTGAGTTGATGTGCATTGCGCGTGTGGTGCTGACAATTCCATCATATCTGCTGAAATTGCGAAATGATTGGTAAACTCAGTCTGAGTAGTACCGTAACTGTCACCGGGGAATAGATCATAGGTTCGAAGATATCTTGTTTCATAGCATGTGTCATCGCCGTAGAGTTTATCCAAGCGGTTGGCAGTTATTTTCGCTGCATTCAGTAGAGTTCCATCATTAGTCTACATACTGCCCTTCATACATATTTCAGGCTGCAAAACTGCCAACTATTATACTGAGAGAATTATATCATCGTGGCTCTACTTCTCCGGATACACCTGCAGGATTGCTCTATCACCAGGCTCAAGATCCCTCGTTTCGTCTGAGTCGCTGATGTCGGAGTTACCCTCTGCCCTTTTCGAGTTTCTCCTGTAGACTGTTAGACATGATCAGGAAAATGTGACAGAGCGCATACTCCTCTCGTTTCGTGAAGAACTGAATGACATGCGCCAGTATAATCAAACATATGGCGTTGCCGAGTACGAACGAGTACCCCTTAGTGAAGCGAGGAGCCTCGACGGTCTTGAACACTAGCAACGGCGTCCACGCGGTCGTTGATTGTGAGACAGCATTCAAAATGATCAGCGCCGCCGCTCGTTCGACAGGCGAGTATCGCAGTTGACTATTAACCCAGCCGTAGAGCACACTGGACATAGCGACGGCAGAATAAGTTGTGGAAAATGCAAACCAGAGTGCGGACTGAGGAACATCCCATACGACGAGTATCACCAGCCCAATGATGTTCCAAGTGTGTGCGATGGTGATAGCCCAGGCAGGGCCGAACAAAAGATCCGATGAGAAACAGATGAAGAGTGTGTAGAAGATCCCCAATGCTGGAGAGATCGCGTTGAGCTCGTTGATGCGACTGGTCGAGAATTTCTTGAGACTTTTCAGCCAGAGCAGATAGCCTCCTGTAGTGGTGTTGACGCTTCCGTTCCAGAAGAAAATATCCAGCAGGAGCAAAGCCCAGAATTTCCAATTGCAAGCAATTTCCAAGAGCGCTCTCCATCGGAAATGTTCCTGAACGCCATGTCCTGCTCGTTGAAGCCGCTTTTTGGCGAGATCAATATCTGCCTGTTTGAGGACCAATCTATTCGGCTTGTCAGGAGTTCCGGGTAAGATCAGATATCCCAGCAAGCCGATCGGAATGGTGATGATTGCACAGATAATGTACATCCACCGCCACCCTGCCAGGCCATGGACACCGTCAAGCCTTGTCGATGTGCCAGCTTGGATCAAGCTCGATGTCAATGTTCCGAGAGTGAGACCAACATAAAAGCAGCCGCCTCTACGGCCGATTTCATCACCGCGATACCAAGATCCTGGACGGCAAATGTGAATTGGGCTTCCCTTCTTCAAGACTTGCATGTTTCACCTACCGAAAACGTAATGCATGCCGGGGAAGAATGCAGCCTGCCTTGCTCAGCTGAGATCGTAGGAAAATCATAGAATGAGTTCAAACCTCAAACCACCCAACGAGAAATCGGTAAGCCATCAACTCCCCGTACGAGGTCACTCGATACTGCAGTAACGTAAACACACCCCATGATACATCCAAAGCTGGAATGATCCAGGACATTGGAAATTTGGTGAAGAGATACGCGAAGGGGATCTGTCCTAGAACTGCGCCAACGGTGTACATTGTCTGCAGATGGACGAGCGCATTTCCGTGAAGGTTCAAATCATCCGAAAGACCCGAAACGTATGCGTTGTCTGAAAACAGGATTAGTCTTGATCGAGGAGGACTTGCCTATGACCTACTGATGTTGGATTGGTCAATATATTTGGTCCAGTACGCAAGAAAGGCATATGGAACAATCAAGAGATCCAGCTTCAGGATGAGCTTCCGTTCCTCTTTTGTATCATCGTCTGCAAACCACTTGATGTGATACCACTTTCTGCGTTGCACTGAAGCCATCGCAGCAATTGATCCGCGAGTGGAATGCCCGGCGATTATCGCTAGTACTGATAATTGAGGAAGGCCTGTTCTAACCGTTCCAGGCCTGGCAGAAAGCCTTTGAAGGGATTTATATTGACTCAATTGCAAGATGCCACTGTCGATAACAATGGCGTGACGTCTATACACCATGCTCAAAACGTCGTGGAAATTTCCTCTTGTCTCAAGAGTTCTGACGCACAGAACTTGACTGTGCCTTCGTTATGGATGTCGTTTAACTCAATGCCTGGATGGAAATCGGAGAGCCAAGGATCGTGTTAGAAGGTGGGGAAAAGACGTGCTTGTCTAGCCTGCGCAAATGCAGTACCTAAGCGCATACTGCTCATTTCACACTCTCCCCACTGGTTCAGCCTTATCTCCCGTCAACTTTGACTTCTCATTATCGATGTTGAGCCTGTCGACTGAGGATATCTCGCCGTAGCGCTCTCGCAGATGTCTGGGTTGACGATGGTGTAGCTGTTTCCCTCCCAGTTGTCGCTTCATGATTCCTTATTCACCCAAATAGTCAAAATGGTCAAAATAGCAGAAAAGGGAATTCGGATACTGATACGGTCGTATCCACACTACCACTGAAATTGAATATGGATAGACGAGCTGATCCATATACTCGGAGTGCTTCAGCGGGCACCGAGACATCGCGAAACCGAGCCACTTTCTAGACCAAAGATAGCATCTATCTAGGTCCTCGGAGAATGAGGAGAAGTGCCATACTTAGAGACAGCTGGCTTTCAAATGTGACATGGACACTGGCAGTGCTCAGAGCGAGAAAGATCCATGATGGACAACAACAGCTTTCAGTCAGCATCAGGTGGCACATGCGAAACCACTTCATTCTCAAAGCTCAGACCTCTCATATCCGGTCGCCTCATTAGTCTAATCGAACTAGACGTTAATGAGTGTCTCCAGGACCATATGCGTTCAAATGAACTACTTTTGGTGGGATGGTGGAAGACACCATCAAGATCAGAGAAAACCGGAACCTGGACGACATGTCTCACAGTTTCGTGACCGACATGTTTCTTCTGACTCCCTGTTCTTCATTATTCTCTTGAAAGAACGATTCCAATCGACGTGTAGCCGCGGTCGGAAGACATCAAGAGGAGCAGCCGGGTAAACAGTGGAATTGCCGGGTGTCGTTCCGATGACGTCGACTCGGCGGGGTTGATGGAAACACAACGCAACCCAGCGACATCAGTAGCACTCTCTCCTGAACAAATCTTCTATTCCATCGCTGAACACGGTGCTCGGCTCCCTTTTATCAATTGCGAATCTGTTCCAAGCGATATCCTTGTGCGTTCGTTTCTTCTCCATTTCTCCATGTTTTACGGACAGCTTCTAACTACCCCTCTCCGAAGGTCGCTCCTCACATCTGTGAAACCTCGCTCTGTTAACGCATTCAGACCGCTCCACTGTTCATCCGTCAACATGTCTGGCATTAGCAAGGCCTGCTGCTCGTAGGTGTTTTGCAATTAGCGTTGTCATAGCAGAGTGATCGCAGAGTGATCGCAGACTGACCGCATTCAAGGATCCCTCCCATTGTTGCCCAAGGCTACCAGGGCAAAGGTGAATACAAGACAATCAATGGAATGAAGACATGTAGGTCAATTGTGAACCTAGATCTGGAAGCAAAATAACCACTGACATATGTTCAGACGTTACGGGCCCCGACTCTGCCTCCAAGGCCATCCTGATCATTTACGGTGGGTAATCGTTCATCCGTCTCTGCCCACAGATAATCAGCTAAGAGTGACTTGAAAAACAGACATCTTCGGCTTTTTCCCTCAGACAATTCAAGGCGCCGATATCCTCGCTACCTCGAGCGAGCAGAAATACCGTGTCTTCATGCCAGACTTCTTTGAGGGCCAACCCGCGGACATTACCTGGTTCCCTCCTCAGACCGAAGAGCACAAGCAGAAGCTGGGCAATTTCTTCCAAACCAAGGCTGCTCCTCCAGCAAACCTGCCCAAGATTCCAAGTTTCGTTGATGAAGCGAACAAGCTCGCTGCCAGCGGCAAGGGCTTCGAGTCCTGGTCTATTCTCGGATTCTGCTGGGGCGGAAAGATCGCATGCTTGTCCTCTGCCAAGGACACCAAGTTCAAGGCCGCGGTGCAGTGTCATCCCGCCATGGTCGACCCTAACGATGCTAAGAATGTCACTATCCCCATGGCCATGTTGGCTTCCAAGGACGAGAATCCCAAGGACGTCGAGGCTTTCGGTGCCAACCTTAAGGTTGACCATTACGTGGAGACCTTCCCTACCCAGATTCACGGCTGGATGGCGGCTCGGTCAAACCTTGAGGATGAAGAAGTTCGCAAGGAGTATGAGAGAGGTTACAAGACTGCTTTGAGCTTCCTTCAGAAGCATGCTTAAGTATCAGGGGTAGGAAGGAGGACATAATGTTATCATCTCTAATTTATATGAGTGACGAGACAAATTTGTGAATAGTATCATGACCTTTTTTTCCAACATGCGCCGAATCAACAGTCTGGTATGAGTGACGACTGTAAGAATTGTCTCTATAGCTTTTCATTCCGCTCCCTCATAGTTCATTATGGGCAGCTGGACTTCCAGATTCGGAAAGGGGTCCCGGAATGCTCCACTCGGTTCGCGGAATGAGAAACGTCATCGTTTATCCGCATCTCTCTCTATCTCTCTCTCTCTCTCTCTCTTTTCTCATCCTCAACTCCTCGCAACAGTCAAGCCATCAAATCATCGATTGATCCTCGCGTTTTATCTGCTTGGAACTCGTTGTGTGGCCCTCTTTTGCTTAAACACTCATGGATCATCTTCACTTTTTATAGTCTTCCCTAGAACATCGCAGTGTCCTTCTAGCCGATCAGGTGGCTATAGTTATCTACATCTGATCGTACGATTTGATTCAACATGTTCATGTCTTGTCGAATATTTTTATGACATCAGCCTTTTAACTCCTTATCAATACCCCATAGAGCATTGAGACCGTATAAAGATCCTCTTACTCTCTACATGATTTTGCATGATTCTGCATGATACCATGATAGGTTGAACGACATAAACGCCACTCTCCAAGAATTAGCGTAAGTAATCTGCAATCTCGTGCTCATCTTCTCATCAAGATCCCAATATCCATCCACTCACCTCCTGGTACCCACCCAACTGACAATTGACCTAGATCAAGATGCATGTATTATCTGGCAGGCGTCGTTCAGTTTCGACTGCGACGGCTTCTGATAACGGCGCGAGCAAAGCAACTGAGAGCTCGCCCAGGAGAGCTTCCTTCTCGCTTGAAAATAGTCGCGATCACGGCGCTTCTGGAAGAAACATGTTGCGTAATCTTTTCCAGAGACATGGCGCTGCACCAGTAACGGAAGATGTGTTGGCAACGGAAGTACCTCAAGCGTCAACCGAGAAGCACGGAAATGTAGGTTACTTTCTCTTTCGTAGCGCTGCTGGTCGACAACGCATACTAAATACTCTATCAAGGACAAATCTACCACGGCTTCGAATGCCCAGTTAGTAAAGAATCGGGGTCGACAAAATCACAACTCCTCGGGTTCTTCTGGAACCAAAAGTACACATCATCCAGACGAGCACGGCGAAGGAAAGGATGCGTCAAATTCTACGTCTGACACTCTTGCTAGATCTCACAAGGGCCGTGCTCACGGAACACCTTCGTGCGAGACTCATCTCACCAGAGATGATATCCATGCCATATTTTCCGGGGCACCATTCTTCCTTCTAGAAAAGGGCAAGCATGGTCTCTGGTATCCACAAGTAATATTCCCATGGGATGACCACGACCCTACGATTCAGCATCTATGGGACAGAAAGCTTCTTCCTCATCCATCATATACCCTATGCACTCTTCATGCCCATCTCCCCGTCCCCGAAGGATGGATGCTTGAAGGTGACGCTCCCGTCCACTTAGACAGTTGGAAGAGAACCGGTGCACCAAAGAGAGCTACATTCGATATTGGTATATTCGAAGTCCCAAACATGCTTGCTATGAGCGGGAAAGAGCCGGGAACTGTTGGCTTTCGCCATTTTCTGGAGCTTCCAGTGGCCGATTCCGTTCGGTTTGTTCCCACCGGAAAGGCCCGACTCCATGCTAATTTACTGCACCTTCCTACCCTACCAGCCGCTGAGGCTGACGAGCTTCTGGAGCATTACCATGAGCCCTACTCGCTGTGTCTCGACGGTACTATCCATGAACGAAAGATGCTTCTTGGCGATGGCCCTTCCGCTTGGAAAAAGATTGGTCTGCGGGATATCAACTTTAAAACCTTGGTCGACCGTCTTCAGACCTTGAGAAACCTCCGTCACGAGTTACTGTATGAGAACACGCAGAAAACGATACTCGATGTGGAAAGTGCACATGCGCGCCACAGCGATTTATTTACCAAGTTTCTTCATCCGCCACCCCGATTCGTGCTCACGGATCTTGATACTCGCCACGGCCTCAAGGCTGAGATCAAAGCGTTGACCACGGTTTTAGCCACACCCGGGGCATGGTTCGACTTCAGTCTCGTCGAGTGGCGTTTCCGCATCGGCCAGCTTCTTTGGGAAGCTCGTCCCCATGTGGACGCTGACTTCTTTGATCCAAGTACCATTCAGAAACCCTGGGTTCATCCGACTTTGGAACAGAAATGGTTTCTGATCCAGATGCTCCTCGCCGCGGAGCTACTTCTTCGCCTGGACGCTATTGTCAAAGTTGGGCTGGTTGAGACCTCTAAGGATGTCAATGTCTCTGCTCGAGATGTGGATCATTTCGATAAGCTGCGCAATCCTAAAGTTGACTGGGACTTGGTGGTGTTGCGCCGCTTCTTCGACAGTTTCAAAATATCCTGGGGCGACTGCCAATCCGGCGCAGTGTCGAATGCTCCGTCGCAGCCGTCAAGCCAAGAGAAGCCGATCCAAAAGTCTCATCACTTTTCATTCTTTGAAAGCCTAGCACGCAGGCATTCTGTGTCGCCTTCCCCACACTCCGAGGTCCCTGGGATATTCGAACTTACACCCACTCATGTCGAACAGCAAGTTGAAGGGCTTTTGGTGTTTGCCGAAAACATCTGTTGGCCTCGTGTTGATTCGCTCAGAGAGAATTTCGAATCGAGATTACAGGCCGGAGATTTAGATCAAAAGATCACGAACATGTTTAACCGCCCTGCGTGTAATGCATCAATGGAGGACCCTGCGGGAGGAACCACCAAAGACGACATGTTCAAACGACGCTCTACTCGCCTGCTAGTAGCCCTCAGCTGTCCTTCCAGCGACCCTCCTAACTCAACGATGGGTGGTTGGATCACGCGATGCTGGCTTTCTGGCTTTGTGATTCCGGGCAAAGCGATCAACCACCTGCTCATGGCTACAATACTAGAGAATGATCAGGAAGCCGTTGCAAGACTCGGACCGGTGGCCAATCTATATGGAGGATTTGCTCACAGTGGAAAAAGTTGGTGGAGTCAAGAATGCATTGTTGGCCGAGTACTTTCCGCCCTGAATGGAACCAAGGCTTGTATGGGTTGGATCAGCAGCACGAACATTCCCAAAGAATATCAAACCCAGGAGCCCCTCGACGATACCTGGTTTGAGGTTATTGTCAGTGACCCGCCCACTGGTCTGGGGAAACCACGTATCAAACAAGGAAACAAGATCTCCGTAGAGTCGACACCGCTGGGACTGGGATCGTTGACCAGTGACGAGTTTACTTTGCCGGTGGACGATTTACCTGATGCTAAGTCACCAGTGGATGTCAATTTCAACGCTTTGACCTTTTCTACGAAGGAAAGCCGGCGAAGTAAACACCAGCATGCAATGGTGGCCCGCAAGGCAACCATGTCTTTCTCACTGAGCTCGGGCTCCAGCACACCCACAGCCGATGTTTCCTTCCCATTAACATATAACGTCAATTTTGTCACGTCGCATGCGTGCCGTTTGCCTTCAGGGTTAGCGTCATACCAGCACAAGTCGTCACTTGATAGCGAAGACGACAAAGGCGATAGATCGCGGTCACTTTCTCCCGCCGAGGCCTTCTCTCGAAAGCACGGACGGCTTCCAGGCCACCCACTGCCTAGCTCATACAGGTACAAATATCTTGCACTGGATGCCTTGCCAGGTCCCGAGGAATCAACGATAGGGAAGGTTTTTGAGCATGCAGGCTTTGATCTGACGGTTGACGAGGTGTTCATTGTCGATGCTCGCCGATCTGCGGATAAAGAAGCGTTGGCAAGATCATGGTGTGCTTCGGTTGGCTACGATGCCATCATCGGTAGAACTGGGCGGACATGTCTCGGGTGCTGCATTAGAGAAGCTCGAGCTCTGGCGGTCAAAGTGGTCGTTCGCGTGGGTGATTAGGAGATGCCAGGCTGGAAGGCCTAATTTACTCGATTTTGCTGGATTGCGACTCTTTTACTCGTTGAGAATCCGTCATGGTATCTGCAGCTTCTACAAGACCAGATCTTTTTATGTTCTAAGGTAGCCTGTTAGGCCATGGTCATTATGGGATCACAATCTCAGCACGCGGAACTTGGAAGTACCTCGAACGAGGCAACCCCTTTATCCGGTTAATCGTTTAGACGGACAAGCTCGAGGATATTGCCAGTGCAACTACAGGGTTGCTGAAAACCCGAGAAGTGTGTATGAGAGTACAGGATTGGGCAACAAGATCAATGACCAACGGCGGTCCCGAACCCAAAGATGCAACCTTCCCTTTCTGACATCAAAGCAAGGCATACGATTGGACGAAAACAGATGATGGCCGATGCCACGTTCACGACGCATTACTGATGATCATGAAAAGACACGTAAGGGTGGAGGGGATTCTGGATACGGATTACGGAGCAGTCGAGCATCAGAGCATGTCTGCATGCAGTTAAGTGCCCGAAGATGGTGAAACAGGCCGGCGTGCGCCTCAGACTGACGCACCAATCGAGCGTCTGGGGCCGCCAAGAGGCTCGCAGATATCTTCCGTCTGCAAGTCATAGGCACAAGGAAAAATGACATTTTGCGCTTGGGGCGCTCGACACTTCTCTAACACGAGAAGAATAAAGTATTCATCTAATACTCACACAGCCATCGTGATTCATGACAAGCTTCTATGGAACTTGCATGGCGTTATTATATTCAGGATAGATTTACTCTTACTGTCTTACAGAGCACTTTGGCATCAAAATTCTCCCTCGCGTACACTCTGTGTCTAGATCAAGGTCCTCTCTCGGAGTAGCCCCTCAAGAGTGAAGACACAAGGCTCGTCTAGCCAGTCTACGAAGCGCCATCACTGCCATTCCACAAGCTGAATCAGTAATCTCTCAAGAAAGTGACATTACCCGGAGTAGTTCCATCTGTATCGAGAAATCATTTTAAAAAGGAAATGCAGCTTGAATGGCGTCCACAAACCCTTGGAAATCAAAACGTCTAGGAGGATACAGGAAGACTCCACGAAGTATGGAGGTACCAGCAAATTCTGGCATACAAGCATGCGCCAGTCTCAGTTTCCAGGCACTCGAAAGTCCAAGTCGAAGTGCAAGTGAAAGAAGGCCCAGTAATTTCCGGCGCAATCATACCTATTTCCCACTGTCTTGACTCTTGACATTGTTTTCAAACTTTCAGGGTCTTATTTCGGGCAAATGGCTACCGTAGGTACCCAACGTACCTGATTGTGCGCACGTGGTGGGCCCAGAGCAGAAGATGTTGTACAAACCTGCTATCAGTCCAATAGACCAATCCTTATTTAATGGACTCGACGCGAGGACCGATAATAGTACCCGCGAAGATACTAGATCCTGTGCAGGCTGCGAATCTTGCGTCTTGACATTATTATTGTTCTCTGGAGGTACGCCCAAGGCCGACAGAGGAAAGGAAATGAGTTCAATGCTACTTAGTGGGCCACGACGCTATGTGGCGCCCATCAATAACCGGCGATTTCCCCAAAGGTGCAAAAGGCAACAGGAGCAAAGCCGGTTCTGGGTAGATAGCTGTTCGGTCGTCCTGACTCCGAGACAGGATGCTGATGATGGCGAGTGTGCATGCTCGCCTTCGGTTGTGTAGCGCGGTAATCTATGTACCTGCAGTCGGAGCAGGGACCAAATTGTACAATCAGCCGAGAGCAGAGCAATCGTTAATTCGTTATTATTGGTTCTAGGATCGTTGCGCAGGAGGACCAAATGGTCAAGTTGGTGTGTACTGCTTAATGTAGTTTCCGCAATGCACACAATAATGATTCCTTGAGGCGCAATGAGAGAAATGACTCGAATTCGAATCCGAGTTCGAAGCTCGGACAGTGACTGGAGCACCGACCAGACGTGTTCATCGCAATTTCTGAGACGATCTCTGGGGACCTCGCTTACGTATATCAGTCTCCGATCCCACTAGGGGACGCAGCAAGTGACGAAAGGAGCAACATCCACGCTACCCTCTCCTTTGCCATTGACTGTAGACTTCATCTTATTGAAGTCATCAGAAATTGGTTCAGAGATATTATCTGCTGACGTAATCCGGAACTCGCCTGCACAATTCTTGCAAAGGGAGTAGATACTGTGTTTCAGACAGGTGTATGCTCTAGACCATTTAGAGTTGAGACAGCAAGTTTAAACTACGCATGTATGAGGTGAAGGAGGTACGAAACAGGACCCTGAGTGTGGGAGAAGAGCCAAGCACTATGGTTGCGTGTATTGTGGGTACGTACTTTACTCTGGGTAGACACTAGGCTGGGACTTGATAATGTGCTCATTGGTTTGTAGCTATGATATTTATAGTAATGGTTGCGATCTTGAGCATAGCTGCATATCTAACGATATGACATGGTCTTATTGTTATGAACTGGTGCATACTGTTCTCCATGCAGTATCTCAAGATGGGCAGATGGTCATAGTGTCCAGCTTCAATACTACATGAAGCTGTCTTTTTATCTCTTGCTTTTCTCTAAACTCAAGTCTCTGAGATATCAGACTGTACCTTTGGACTTGATAGATCAATGTGGGTCGAGACTACTACTGCCGACCATTCCCTTGGGACATGACATCAAGTGAAGACACCTGAGAGTATCTTCTAATTGAGTCTTCAGTTGATGGATAGACTGAAGTTTTCAGTTATGCGCACTGTGGACAGACTATGTTAGTTATCTTATTAGTCATTACCCCTTACAGAATCATACAGGTGAGATTTGCTGGCCAGAACCCACATGACACACTAGGATGCAGATTTGACCCTTAATTAAACATTGACTTTGGGGCCCACCCCGTACCAACAGATCTGTACTCTGTTGTATTGTTTCATCTTTCATTCATCTTCCATATCTCATGTTTGTCACTACTTACTACTCCATGCTATTCATCCAATCTGGCTGAGATCATAGTGGCATGATATCTTGGTGATGTTACCACTGTATTCACAAATTTGGAAAGATGGAAGCAATAAATTAGACATGATCCAGGAACAGGTGATAGATGACATCTGAGACACACCTGGTAAGGCACGCAGGCAGAAGCCTTATTACCCATGGCCCATACTTGGCCCTGGATCACCAATCATGAACCATTCCCGGATTCCGAAGCCCAAAAGATGACGACGAAGGGGCTTCTCGAAGCTCGACAGTGTTCCAGGATCCATGTTGCTCTCTGCTGCCACTAGGCCGTTTCTGGAAATCCCTCAGACTCATCAAATGATCCAACCCAATGAACGATCAGCACACCTGGTGGAAGACATCTCTCAAGATGAGCTTAATGTTGATTGGCCATGATCCCCGACTGTTGGCCAGGCACTTGGGCTCATCGCAAATATGCTCAAGGACATGGGGGTGAAGTTCCTCATGATTACCTCCTCAGATTACCTAGGCAAAGTCCACTAGATGCTACTATCCTTCATTATTCCTGAACTGGAATGGTCTTTTAGGCCTCACAATATTAATGATTGACAACTTCCAGCCTTTGTGATTAGGAGACCATTCCCTTCGAGTAGCGTGGTTTTGCTGGCCCCCCACCTGAGGTAGTTTGGTGCCTGTCATCCATTTGGGGGACCATGGTTTGCGGTCCTCAACCAGTCTTGGGTGTTTGATTGATGGGATCCAGGGGTTTCTTCGTCCTTGACATGCATTCGGTATGGTGCGATGGCGAAAGAGAAAAGGAGATGAAGCTTGTATCGCTCATCCAGACCACTCCTACGTGATGAGAGAGGATCATTCGCCAAATCTGCATCTGACAACAGAGACCACAGTCGTTTTCACTCCCTACGACTCTATAGCAATCAACCAGGCATCCATATTCAGGAGATGAGGTTTCCTTTGCCACATTCCTGAGAGCTGGATAGAATGGGTGCCTTAGAATGTTGTGAAGAAGATGATAGCAGGGGACACTGGACAGCAAAGTATGGTACGGAGTACTAAAATTAAAATCATTTTCGACATCTTTTACTACTGTTTAGACTCGGCGTTTCATGTTATGATTAGTTTGATATCGACATCTCCTTAGCCACAGGGACTTTTATTCAGCCATCTCTCCAAATTGCCCTAAGAGTCCATTCAGTGACTGTAAAGGAGACTGGTTTCATCATCATCCTATTGCTTGTCCTTCTTCCTCTTCTAGTATGATTAGTATTATGCTCTTTTTTAGCTGCCTTGCTCTCAAACTTCACCATTTCTTTTTTTTGTGTTTATTTTTAATTTTAATTTTTCATTTTCGTCTTTTTTTTTTTTTTTTTTTTTTTTTTTTCCTCCCCTTTCCCTACTAGCCTACCTTTTCTTTTCACCTTTAAGATACCCAACCTTCTCTTCTTCATCTGTCCCTTATACCCATTTCCGTGCCCACGACACTCAAGCGAAACTCCTTCTCCTTCCTCTTCTTGAAAAAAAAAAACATCAACAAAAATATACCATTTCTTCACTACTACCTAT